ATGGGTGTGTGCTGGAAACAAAGCCAGCCATTTCTAGAGGGGTTCTGTAAATTCTGGTGCCCATTTAACATTGAAGAAAATTTTTGTTGGTGGTATTAAAGAAGATACAGAAAAATATAATCTGAGAAACTACTTTGCAAAGTATAGTGACATTGAAACCATAAAAGTTCTGGAAGACAGGCAGAGTGGAAAATAAGAGGGCTTGCTTTTACGGCTTTCGATGATCATGGCACATTGTTGTTAAGAAATACCAACTGTCAATGGGCATGATTGTGACATGGAAAAGGCGCTTTCTAAATAAGAGATGTGGTCTGCTGGATCACAGAGTGGTCATGGAGGAAACTGTGGAGGTGATGGAGTTAATTTTGGTAATGGTGGAAACTCTGGTGGAAGAGGAGACTATGCTGGTGGAGGTGGTGACAGTATAGGTAATTATGGAGGTGGTGATGGCAGACACAATGGATTTGGAGATGATGGTAGCAACTATAGTGTGGTCATGGTTACAGTAGTAGAGGAGGCTATGGTGGTAGACGAAGATATGGACACCAAGGTGGTAGATATGGTGGTGGTGGTGGAGGGTATGATGGTTACAGTGAAGAAGGAAATTATGGTGGAGGTAACTATGGTGATGGTAGGAACTATGATGACTTTGGAAATCATAGTGGACAATAGCAATCAATTTATGGACCCATGAAGGGGGCAGTTTTGGTGGAAGTAGCTCAGGCAGTCCCGATGGTGGTGGCTATGGATCTGGTAGTGGAAGTGGTGGGTTTGGTAGCAGAAGGTTTTAAAAACGGCAGGAAAGGGCTACAGTTTGAGGAGTTGTCCGGAAAGCTGCAGTTACCCTGAGACAGTCGTCCCAAATGCAGTAGAGGAACTGTAAACTCTGTCACAGGAGGAAGGGCGATCCACACTCAGAAAGGTTACTGCAGCTTAAACAGGAAACCGTCTTGTCAGGGCTGTCATAGCCACGGTATGCAAAAGGTGCGGCCATTGATCCATGCAGCACAGCGTTGATTAGATGCATGCTTCTAAGGTCTTTCATCTGTTGTAACCTTTCCTTTTTCTTTTCATTACATCAGGTATATTGCCCTGGAAATTGTAGTAGTGGTACCAGAGGAAAAAATTAAGGAATTTTTAACTTAAAAGATTAAGCATCTTTGCCTGTCTTCTTAATTTTTGACAAGATAATTCCAATTGTAAAATATCAATGGAAATTCAATGACCCATTTCAGGGTTGTTTCTTCTTTGCACTTGCTGCTCACTCCGGCCATAGTGCCCCAGGGACACAGCGTGTGTGTATAGGTCAGAGGCCAATGTCCAGAGGTCTTCCTTGATGCTATCTGCATATATGATACAAGGTCTTTCCTGAGTTGAGGACACCCTGACTGCTTAGATTGACTAGCTAGCAAGTTCCAGGGCTCTACCTGTCTGTCACCCTTCAGAGCTAAGATGATAGATGCCAGCCACCACACCCAGCTTTGAGTGGATTCTGGGCATCTCTTAAGCTTTACTGACTGAACCAGCTCTTCAGCCCTAATACATCATCTTTTTACTTTTTAAATATTTATTTTTATTTTTCAGTCATGTGTACATCTATCTGTGTAGGAATATGTGAGCTATCTTTGGAGTTCAGGAGAGGGCACTGAATCCCCTGGAGTTAGAGTTACAGGCTGTTGTGAATGAACTATGAGGGTTCTGGGAACTGAACTTGGGTCCCCTGCAGGAGCAGCAAGTGGTCTTAACAACTGAGCCATCTCTCTAGTCCCCTTCATTTTTTCTTGATTATTGGTTGATTGTTACAAGGTCTCCCTACAGATCTTTCTGATAATACAGACTTGGTGTTTTCCATGGTTACATAAATTAGAAGTCTCTCAAACACCCTGGCTCTTTAACATACCTTGTGTTTCTTCTTACTATTTGGTTAACAAAGAAACAAGAAACTAACTAAAATTCCTACAAATTTTCTAGTTTTATTTTTTAAAAGCATAAGGCTAGAATAGCCCCTAAAGATCTCAGATAATAAGAATTTAAAAAAAAAGTCCAATGTGTGTGTTGGGGAGAAGACTCTGAAGGTATCTTATGCTAAAGACCTATGAATTCAAACACCCACTTCCTGGCTTCACTGGATAGTGGGACATAGATGATGTCAGCCAAAGTGGAAAGAAATAAAAATGTCTCTGGAATAACAGAAATCCTAGCAGCCGTGTGGATCCAGTCAGTCTTTCTGTCTAGTGTCAACTTTCTGCAAGTTGCTAACACTCAAAGGCATGATTTCTCTTACTTGGCTCCACAGAGTGTTATTGGAGTTTGGAAGCAAAAGTTGCAACTTGGGGAGCCCGGACAGACTAGGCTTGGCCTTGGATTCCAATGTGCTAAGTAAAAGGATAAGCAATGTTGAGAGGCAGAGAAAAGAGATGTAATCAATGTGGCTGTGTAGAAAATAACGGATAAAGGGGCCCAGTGACCCCAAGTTGCTTTAAAGTACTAATGAAATCACTGAGGTTTTTAATAGGAAAAAGAGAAACAGGAGGGGTTTGGGGGTATGTTTAGTAGACAGGAAGGTGGGAACGGTGGTCTGGCTGACTGTTATCTTTCTTGTTCTGTAAGGACTTTGGTCATCACTTGAGGGGAACAATTTCACCCTCACAAAATGATTCCACCTGCTCCAGGATACAGCCTCACCATCCTGGGTAATCACCCATATTTGGAGGGTGGTCTACCCTGTGACTGCTGCTGTTTGACAAGGTCCTTTGTCATGAAGATGCTAAGTGGTCCATTCTGTAATTCCTGGGATTCAAGGTAACTTCAGGGGAGGTGACTTAAGTAGAAATTTTAAAAAATTAAGCTAGAGAGGAACAAAGTAGTAGTGGACAGGCCAATGATCAGGATGCTCTTTCAGTTGGGCAGTTTAATCCCTGAAGTCCCAGGACTCCTGTGTGTGATACACAGATTTATGTGCAAAAAAGCAATAATACATGTAAGATTAAAACACATATATATTTACTGACTTCACAGGAGGGAAATTATTTTTGAAAAGTTCAAGAAATACTCTTAGTCATCTGCTCACTCTTCTGACTCCCCCTGAGGTATTTACAGCCTGTGTAAATCACACCTCCAGTTTTTTCCATCTGTCTGTTCTCTCCCCTTTCACTCTCAATCACTTGTTGCTTCCATTAAATGCTAAGAAGGTAGCTGTCCCCTTTCTTCATGCTTCAGCTTCTCCAAATCACTCAAATATATGGCCTGTTTTGCAACCCACTTCTTAGGAGAGAAGAATACTGCACAGACATCTTGTTCTTCTGGCCTGGATGGTCCAGCATACTTAATGCAATCTCAGATGAAGTGAGGTCTTTATCCCTGATGGGACCATCTGAGCAGTGGGCATCACTGAAAAGCACAGGGTTGTAACGCCTGTGTTACAACACTTTTCACGGATTCGGGCAAGGGAATCTGAGGATTGAATAAAGACAAGACAGCGGGTCATTCTTGCAAGGAGAATGCCGTTTATTTCAAAGGCAAATATACCAACAGTAGCCACAGTGGAAATTTACTCAGATCAAGGTTCACGTCCCCAAGTGCCCCCCCAACAGACAGTGTGCCCACCCACTGTATGGATTAGAAAGCAACCACTAGTCTTCAGTGGGTACCGTGCTGGGCCAAGCAGACTGGTTGCTGATGCAAGCACATACTTTACTGTGAATCGCTCAAAACTGAGCTGTCTTTTGTTCCTCCTCCTGAGAACACTGTGTTGTGTCATATACAAGTCCTGTAACTCTGCTGCACCTCCCCTTTTCCTTCTTCATAAAATGAAGCTAACAATTTTATGATTGAAGAGTGATTGCAGGGATTTAGCAAGATTCTCTTAAATGTAAATCACCCCGCATAGTGCCGCCATGCAGCAGGAACTCCACAAGTGCTCACGTCAGGCTTCATGGAGAGGAAATCAGTTTCTGTACTGTAATCACTGCCTGGAAAATAAGACCTTCAATGCCACCCCAAACCCACCACCCCTTTATGCATAGATACATAGATAGATAGATAGATAGATAGATAGATAGATAGATAGATAGAATTTCAATTCTGATTGCTGGTGAAAGCTTAGCAACCCTGGCCCTGTATGAGTCTTGTGACTGACCTTTCAGAGCCTCTGGGGCACCGAGCTAATGGATTCAACAAATAAGGTGTAAAATAAACTGAAGGAGAAAGAAGGAGCAAGCCCCACATAGGTGGGCATAACCCTCCTTCCACTTGTCTTCTTTAAAATGCCTATTGTGGAGCATCTCAGCCAATCCAAAATAAGAGAACGAGAGATTCCCACTTTGACTTTGGGGTAGACATCTTTTCTTCTCTTTCTCTATGCTAAAGTACAGGCATATAAGTAATGATGGAAACGTGGGTTTTACTCTGCACTGCTTGAAAGTTGCATTCTCTTTGGTGCAATCCCTCATTACAGTCGCCTCCCCATACCAATAATATGGAGCATCTTCCATAGCTACAAATGATCCCGCTTGATTGAGATCTCTAATTTATTGCTCTTATGGCTGAATATTTGGGTGATAAGGTAGCTGCTTTTCTTACTTCCATGACAAAGGATCTGACAAAGTTGATGGGAGATGTACTTATGTATGCTGTGAATATATGTTTCTCTTATTGGTTGATGAATAAAGCTGTTTCAGCCAATGGACAGGCAGGAAGTATAGTTGGGGCTACTAGACTAGGAGAAGGCTGGAATGAGGAAGGCAGAGAATGGGTCTTGAGTGAGACACCATATAGCTACCAGGAAGGTAGAACATCTGGGCATTAACCAGTAAGCTAAGACTACGTAGAGACACATAGATTAATAGAAATAGGTTAATAATTAAGAGAGAGCTGACCAATAAGAAGCCTTAGCCATTGGCCAAACAGTTTATAATTTATATAAGCCTCTGTGTGTTTATTTGGGACTGAAGGAGAGTGGAACTGGGCTAGACAGAAACTTATGTTCACACAAAGTCACCTTAAGGAAGGAGGGGTTTATTTGTTTACAGTTTGAGGATATTGTCCACCACAGTAGTGAAGTCCTGGAGCCAGGGGTGTGGGGCAGCCAATCACATTGTGACCACAGTTAAGATGCAGAGATGAACGTGGCTTCTCAGCTCATTTTCTTCTTTTTAATTCAGTCTGAGGCCTCTGTCCATCAATGGTTCGTCCCACGTTCAGGGTGGGTCCTCCCACTTCCATTAAACCTTTTTGAGAAAACCATATGGACATACCCCTAAATGTGTTCCCATGGAGATTTTAAATTCAGTTAGGTTGACAGCGAAGATTAGCCATCACGGGTACTTTACAGCTATTTATTATCAATTATAAATACTTTATCGAATATTGTTGTTTATATATCTTAAACATGGCAAGTTCTTTATAGGGTCAAAGACACCACCTTCCAGAAAGAGAAAATCACTTTGTTTCCATCTCAAGTATCGGGAAACCTCTCCCATTACAGCTGTCTCATTTTAAATGCATGATGCACAGCTTAAATGGAAACATTTACTCTCTCTCCCCCCCCTTTTTTTTTTTTGAGACAAGGTTTCTCTGTGGCTTTGGAGCCTATCCTGGCACTCACTTTGTAGACCAGGCTGGTCTTGAACTCACAGAGATCCACCTGCCTCTGCCTCCCGAGTGCTGGGATCAAAGGCATGTGCCTCCAATGCCAGGTGGAAACATTTACTCTTATCACACACATCTACATTCTTTCTTAATATTTACACTAATTCTTTTAAACCTTTTTATTTAGAATTAATTCTATGTCCTTTCCTCTTTTGACATGCTTAGCTGATATTTTGATTTCAAAATTTAACAAAAGAAAGTTAGACACTATAGAGAACATCAACTTATCTGTCTACTTTCAAATCTACACATATACACATACAAACACAGATGCACACACCTCACACACACTACATATACACACACCACACATACCACACAAACCACATATACCACACTACACACCATACACAGACACATGGACACCTCACACACTACACATACGCACACTATACCACACACACACACACACACACACCACATTTTCTCTGACTTCACCATGTCTAAGAGTCTACAGTGGGTGACATTGATTGATTGATTGATTGGTACCTTCTTGAACCAAATTTTTCCCCATGATGCATGGATTTCTAGTTAGTAGTTGTCACTTAAAATCAATACCAAAGTTGACAAAGAAAGACCTGATAGTTTAGGGGTGGAGGGAGAGGAGGTCTAAGAGCATAGTGCCCCTTCTGCTTAGCTCTCATGAAGACCCATTGGTGAAAGGCAGTGCAAGGCCTTGATCCTGTGTGGAGGAGATCTCTCAGTAGGTGGAGAGCTGGGCTGGAAGGACAGGCTACTCTCCCTCCTGTAATGACCCACTCTCACGGGAGTGAACAGACTCCATGAGAATGGCATTGATTCTCTCGGGGGCAATACCCCAGTGATCTAAGTAACTCCCACAGGGTTCTCCCTCTTAACAATTCCAGTACTATTAAATTGTGCACATAGAGGCCCAGGCTAGCAACACAAACCTTTGGGAGACATGCTTGTAACATATCCAAACCCACAGATATAACCTAACCAAGAAAGAAGATGAGAAGCTAGCAATGGGTGCCAGGTAATAAGAGAGGTGACAGGACAGACAGCAATGGGGTGGATGTGGGGCACCTCTTTAGAAAGAAAGGACAGGAAATACGTGATGGGTGCAGTGGTGAAAAGACCATGGAGAGATGTTCCAGACAAGAGAGCAGCAAGTCCAGTTAAGGTGAGACAGCACTGTGATGTTTAAGGCACTATAACGGGACTCAATCTAGCTGGAGAGCAGTTACAGTGACGGGTGGCCAGGGTCCAGGTGACCTGGGCCCAAAGAAGACGGTTGTATTTTCTTACAAACCCAGTAGAAACTCATTGCAAAGTTCCAAGCAACATGGTTGAAATTTCATTTCTAAAAGACTTCTTGTGGAAATTAAATCATATGAGATTATAAACAACTAGTTGGAGAATGGTCTTATTTGTTATATTAAGTCATACAGAACTCTAATAATAATGATGTAATGGTAAAAAAGAATCAATCCCAAAGGAACACACAATAGACTGCAAAAACCCCACTCTCAAAACAAAGGTAAATTACTTGTCGAGATAGATCTCTGGGTGTTACAGTCTCATTGTGAAACCCCCTCTTTTTAAAATATATGGTTCTGCTAAAGGCCTGCCTTCCTTCCTTTCTTTCTTTCTTTCTTTCTCTCTTTCTTTCTTTCTTCCTGAGAAAAGAAAAATCAGATTTGTGCTTCTGGGAGAAAAAAAGTTTGGCACGGGTTCTAAACAAACACAGTAAAACCATATTCTTTAATCTTCTTAGATTCATAAATGAGCTGTTTTGTGTTACTTAAGGAACGGCTTATTTTCTCAATTTTAAGTGAGTTTCTGAAATGTATCACATGCCACAGAGGGCGGGTGGAAATTAGAAACTGTTACTGCTTTCACAGGGTCAACACACCAGCCCGTTTTTTCCTTCACAATTTGCTGTTAATAAATGGTTGGAATCTAAGATAGCCTCGCCCCCCCCCCCACACACACCATGAATGAACATATAATTCCATCAGAGTCAAGACATTACCTGACATAATGCTGCAGCTGGTCCAGCGTCTCCACCATGCACGATGGATGTGATAGGTTAGGAAATCTTTTGTGTTTCTGAGATTGTTCTCTGTGTACACTTGGATGTCCCTGTTGAATAAAAAAAGAAGTATAAAGGAAGACACTACTGCTCCTAGGTATGCTGGAGAAGAGGGTTTATTGCAGATAAAAGGGAGAGCATAATTAGAGGCAGGGACGCCTGGGAGAGTCCACAGTGAATATGACCCTGAGCTGAGTCGGGATGAGGAGGGAGGGGAAAGAGATGGGGGAGAGGAGCTGCCCGAGCCAAGAAACTGGCCAAGAGAGTGGCACAGCCAAAATGGCTGTTCCATAGGGGCTGGAGTTGCTGGGGGAAAGGAATCCAGTGTCTGCACTGAAGAGTTCAGGGTAGGGGCTGGTTTGCCAGCCAGGTGGATCCTGTAATGGACAGAGACTGAGGGATGCTGGAAAAACCTGGCTGCTAGCATTTGCTTTCACGTTAATGGGCATCTCAGTTAGCCATTTGCCCCTGAGTTTGAGACCTGACACCTGTGACCTCACTGGTCTGGAGTTTCTTACATTTGACTAACCATATAGCAAGGGAGCTATTCTCCAAGTTGTTGTTTCTTGGAGGGAACCACTGGTGGTAGAATTTTGCATGCAAGCTGGCTGAACTCACTTGTTCTGTATGCTCTCATGTTTGACTCATTCCCCGGCAGACTCTGTGTGGACATCTTTGGTCACGAATTTTCAAGGCTAAATTTTCCAGCAGTTAGAGCCTTAATAAGGTGTTTGATGTTGCTGTGACTTTCTGAGGTAAATGTTCCCTCCTCCTCTTTATTTAGGTTCAAGGTCTCTTTGGGAGATTAGGAACTACCTATCTCTTAGAATCCCACAGATTTGGTGTCACTTCTCCTGTGTCACCTAGATACACCCTGGCAGCATTCCATTACCACAGGTACTTGTGAAATTCTGCAAACAAAGCTAATTTCCCCAGCACTGGTAAGACAGACATTTATCTAAAGCAGTCGAAAGGACACTTACTCACAGGCTGTCAGAGTCACTGTAGAAATTGCTGTGGGGAATTCTACGATCAGATAATTAGAAACCTTCCAGGCATGGAGGTGGGGACAGAGGCTCCCTTCATCCCCTAAAATACTTCTCGGCACAAATTTCCCTTTCAGAAAGGAAAGCAATGTACCCTCCGCACTGGTCATGTGTCTCTGACTCTCCCAACCTTGTTCTGGTGTTTGCATCTCTCTGCTCTGGTCCATCCACACCAGCAGAGTTCTGCCCACTCAAGGCAGTGCACACTCCACAGGTCCTGGGGGTCCCCAGCTTCCCACTGCCATTTCTGTCCCCACTCACTCCCTTACCTTCTAAAGCCAGCTTTGGCACATTCATGAACATTTCTGAAATGCCTTAAGACAAACAACCAAGGCTCCAGAGCTGACCCTTTCTCTTCCTTTAAGCTTGGGGGAAAGGGCAGTGCAGAGTTGCTTCTCCCTGTGAGACCCGAGGTGTCACACCTCCACACCGCACTGCACTATGCACCCCGCCCCCAGCCCTCTGCACTGGTGGCAGTGTGTTTTACTGGCTTCGTATCTTCAAAGTTTATTTAACCCCTGTCTTCACTAGCCTCTCTTCCTTCTCTCTTTCTGAAGACCTGCTATAATGCCATTTTTTTTAAATGTTCATCTCAGAGAAAAAAGATAGCACACACTTTGAATTCTCAGTTTAGTTACAGACTTCCCCCTCCTAGTAAGTAATTTCACGCCCCATCTCTGCCTTGTGAGCTTGGGAGAAGTGAAATGTACAATCCTCAGTTCTTTTGGCCACAGCATATGTTAAGTATCATTTATGGGTAAGAAAGTTCTTTTTTTTTTTTTTTTTTTAAGAAGTGAAAGGGTCTTCCAAGGCCATACTCTAATTGTCTCATCACCTCCTCCAATGGTCACATGTTTACCAGTTTAATCCTTTCCCGAAGAAACGGTCAAAGTTAGTTATTGTGCCCTAACCATTCCTGAGGACCAGAATGAAGGAGCATTCTTGGAGAATGGAGCTGGCACTCTGACCCTATGTGGTGCACTTCTGTCCCAGCCCTGTGGAGAAAGGAAGACAGAGGAGGCCATACAGAAAACTAGACCTGAGGAGATGGACTGGAATCACTTGAGACAGAATGAGATCAGTGGAGCTACAGGCCAAGGCAGCCCTGGTGTTGAAATGGTTCTGCATGAAGGAGGGGAAGTCGAGGGTAAGAGTTTTCCCAGAAGTTATTGAGTGAAAGTACAGCCTCAGGCAGGCTGTGGAGCCCATGGCAGTATTGTGGATTCAGAGGAAGTGAGATAATGGAAGAGGGTGAGGTGGGCTTAGAACACCCTTACTCAGTCAGAATGCTACAGTCTTCCTCGAATCATGTCATTAGAGAAAATATTGTAAACTAAGAATCTTAAAGGAATTGCATGGCTATTAAAGTCCTCAGAAATACTAGTAATACTGGTCATGATAGTTCAATTACTATTTTCGAAACTGCAAATGTCACCCATTTTACAGATGAGCTCACCGAAGTGCAGAGAAGTCCCTTGTCTTAAAGTCCCTTGTCTCAAATCCGAAGTCCGTTAGATGCAAAGCAGTGTTGGGTCCTGCACCTGACTGATTAAGGGGGCTGCCGCTGAAGTATGTCTGTATGTCTACCTGCTCACCTGCAACACCTTGTCCTGTATCTCAGAGAAGGGCAAGCCGTGGTTGGAGGTGTGATGGCCTCTCAGGGTGAGTTCAGGGATGTTGGGGCTGCACAGGCAACATTCTCTGCAAACTTTCTCAGCAAAAGCAAAGCCAATTGTGAGTGATGGGGTCCGGGACAGACACATGAGGACTCTGTTTAAAGCCTCTCCGATCATGACCTGGCTAAGAAGCACAGGGGCTGGGGGGTCTGTTGTGCCTCAGCTGTCAGCTGTCTAGCCACACACTGGCTAAGCTTCACTCCGGGGCTTAACAGAGTATGGTTCCAATCAGACATTTCTTGCCGGAGTAGAACAAATCACTTAGGTGATATGCTGGGGGGCGGGGAGGGGGAGGGAACAGTCTGAATGCTTGGAAAGCTTAGGAGGATTTAAATTATGTGCTGTCACTTCAGAGCGGCTCCTCTGTCCTCCACACCACCACCTCCGAATCGCCTGTGGGAGGGAGCTGCAGAGCCTTGCGTGCAAGCTCTGTCATAACCCAAGGCTTAACATAAACTTCAGGCTCTCAGGTCATTGGGAAAGAACAGGTATATCCGGTTAGGTCTTTTGTGCTCGTCTGCACGCAAATTCAAAAGCGCAAGCGCCTGCAAAGCTGAACTCCTTGGAGCCTCTGGTTCCGGAGAAGGGAGGATGCTTTGCAATGGAATTCACTCAGTCTCCCCTTTTGTTTTTTCATGGAGTGGGGGCGATAGAGCTTGTTTACAGGACATTCTTGCACCTCTGAGAGGCTGAGGTCAGAAGGCGTGGGATGTGAAAGTGGGCCTTGTGCCAGCTAGCCCCATAGGCAGCAGGGCTGCAGAGGACCAGGGGCAGAGCCTCGAAGGGGCATGGTTTTTATGGGGGAGGAGGCAGCGGTGCCGAACTTCGGCTGGTGGCAACAGTGCCAAGCTGGCTTGGTCCTTACTGGTTTACACGGATGGAAGTGGGTTGGGAAGGGTGCAAGAGGACTCCTGAACCTTGGGGAACCATGCTCTGAAGGCTGTGGTTGCCTCAGCTCCCCACTTCCCTACCTCCCCTAAGTCTTGCTGTGTCCCTGGAGCCATTCATCTCAGCCCTCTAGGAGCTTGTCTACATTAGGAGCAGAGTCCAGTCTGTCTTCATGTTCTCTCCATGGGAAACTGTAACGCTGCTCGAGTGTGACAACAGCCTTTTTTCCCAGCAGGAGACGTGTGCCTTTGGTCCTCCAATGGTGACATTTCCACTGTCAGCAATTTTCCCACTTAGTAAGGTCGAGCATCAGGAGAGTTCTTGGAACCTGATAGAAGTGAAGCCAAATTCCAGGTCAACCACAATAGAGACTTGTGATTTTGATGGATAACTTTGCATCTTCCTGCCTTGCTCTGTTTCTCTATAAAAGGGGGATTAGGATAATAGCTATCTCCAGGAGTTGATTGGGAGGGATTAATAATAAAAGATTTATATCAAGTGCTTGGCTCACCACCTGCCTCAAAGTGCTCAATTGGTGGTAGTGCCTAATACATTATTAGTTATATATCATTATTGTCACCTTGGTATTATTGGCATAACTGCCATCCAAGATGCCATTGCAATTTTAGGGTTTGGCTAGATGCTTCCTGGCCCCTTCTTCTCATGAGCTAAGCTTTCTCCAACCCACCTGAGCTCAGAACAAAGTGGATTTGGGGATTAGCTCTCTATCTTCTTCCAAGTCCTTCCTGGGCTTTGAGTTCATCGTCCAGATGGGTGGGTGCCATGGAAAGGTAACATCTTTCTAGCCAGACCCTCGCTGGAATGCCTCAGCAGGAGGCCAAGGGGTTAAAGGGCAGGTTAAGTTGCTGCCTGAATGTACCCACACTTGTCTTAGGGTCTTGTCTCATGGCATCAGGAGTTGGGGCATCACTCCTTTTGAAAATCACCACTGTTCCTGACAACTTTCTGTCTCACAGGACAATCACACTCTTTGAGTTGGTGGTCCTCAAAGTGTGGTCCAGGAACCCCAATGTCTCTGAGGTCCTTTTGAGGGACCCGTTGGGTTGATGCTATGTTTTGCCTTTCTCACTCTTACTCCCAAGCTCACCAGGGATCTCCATGATATTTGACATCACAACAGATTGGATACAGAAACACAAGAATCCAGATGTTTTCTGTTAAGTTGGAATTAAAGAGATTTGTAAAAACACAAAGCAATGTCCCTCTGACTAAATATTTTGGTTTTGGAAAATATAATTATTTCCTTAAAAGATTTGTATTACCATGCACTATGTTTATTGTTTTTAATGAACTAATGAGCAAGTATTTTTAATTTTTTCAGCCTTCATTTCTAAAAGAATAAATATTGATAGATATAACTCAAAAATTGTTAATATTGATAGATATAACTCAAGATAACAATAGTTCCTTGGGATCTACAGTAATTTTTCAGAGTATGAAAAATGTTAGAGAAGTGTTGAGCTAAGCTTTTGGCACTGTGGTCCATGAAGTCATGGTTCTGCTCATCTCCTCCCGAATAAAGCTGTCATCTCTAGGGACTGGAAGAGTGTGAATTTTATGATGATTTCAATATAATGGGTTTGAGTGTAGCAGATCTAGTTAGGAAGCCTTCATTTTAGTTTCGTGCCAACTCTCTCATTTTCTAGCCACCGTTTTTAAAGGAAGCATTGTAATGCTTGCCCAAGATCTGTCTAGAATTGCAGACATTAAGTTGTACCAGCAATAGACTAAGGGTGCCCCTTGCTGGGAAAGGTCAGGGACAGCTTGACTCACACCTATCATTGGAACAAAGATGCTTGCCTGTTGGGATGTTAGGCTCTTGTGGGGAGTCACCTCACCTGACCAGAGAGGGCACTTGTATGGCCCAGGTCCTTAACAGACCTGTAATAGTATAAAAGAAGCCTGTACATGATTTGAGGCTGAAAGGGAGAGGCTTGTCAAGTCTTGGTGATGGACAAGTCAATGACTGCTTGCTTCCTGCCAGGCCTTTGGAGCTTGCAGACCTGAATTCAAATCTCATCTCCTCCTATGGTAGGGCTATGGATTATCCCTTGAAAGTTCACTCTCTCAAGGCTTGGTCCCCATGGCGGTGGTGTTTGTGTGGTGGAATCGTTAAGGGGTGGGGTTTAGGGAAAGATAATTAGGTCATAGTAGTTCCATTTTCACAGACAGATTAACGTCACCCTGAAGAAGCCAACTAAGTCTCACGAGAGTGGATTTGTGGATCAAAGGTTGCCCTCAGCCAGCCCTTCTGCATGTAGCTAATTCCTTTTCTGCTTCTCTGCCATGTTGTGGTGAAGTCAGAGGATCTTTGCCACCGTGCTTCCGGGATTCTCCAGAACTGTGAGTCAAACAAACCTCTTTTCCTTGTAAGTTTCCCTACTGTGTATATTGTGACAGCAACACAGAGTGCACTGCTAGTCACCTTCACAGCAAGTCACATGACTCTCAGCAGAGAACCCTTTCTATATGAAATAGGCTAACATATCAATCCCTTGGGGTGGTTTCGAGAAATATGAAACAAGATTTAAACACACAATACAATGCCCATCACTTGAGGGCAGAGTGGGAGACTAGTCCCTTTCCTTTCTCTGTCTCCAACTAGTTTTGTTGTTTGGGGGATGTTAAGAGAATAAATGGAGCTATGGACTCCATCTTGTGATTATGACACCAGAGAAGCAACTTCATACTTGGGCAGAGTGGTCTGTATGTAGAACTCAAAATGTTGATGTGTGTATTCCTTATTAAATGATATTCCTTGTTAAATGACCTCTTTAATCTGCTGAAGGAAACCCAGGCAATTACCCATGTAGT